GCTATTACTAGATTACAAAAGGATGTGTGAATGCATTCTAGAGAAGTTGACATTGACATGGTACTTCCATAATTTATTCTATAGAAGTCGAATTGAACCTAATTTTTTTAATTGAATGGAAGACAAGTTTAGCCTTATCCCTTTTGGATAGTGCTTCTTGACTAATAAAAACAATATTTACAAAATGAGTAAATTGACCTAGACCACCTATACACCAAAAAAATAAAAATAAAAAATGACTTAGACCACCTTCTTTTTAGACCACCTTCTTTTGTCCATTTAGTAACAATGCTTTTAAATTTGTTTTCATGTTAAAGTTAGATTTAGAGTTTAAGCTTAATAATGGTTGAAATGTTGAATGAAACATGGTTGGCAATCACGTTTTTTACTAAATTTTTGCTGATAATCACATTTTCACTATAGTTTAAATATAATTAGAAAGTGTGGTTATTAAACATGCTTAAAAATAACATATTTAGTACTTGAGGGCTTGCAAGGGAGATTAAGAGTTTAATTCTTCAAGGGCTAATTTAGTAGGTAACAACTGACTTTTGCTTATAAATAAATTAAAAAAATGTGTTTTGCAAGTGGGTTTTGACTTAATTTCGGAAATAAGTGTAAAAAAAGCTCTATTATCTAATTCAAGATTTAAAAAGAAAATAAATTGTTGTTAAAGAGGCCAGAGCATCCTTATCCAAATGAGCTGTGTACCACACCATGTTCTATTGCAAGTAGGTACATTTCAGTTCAATAAATGGTACTAAGAGGCATTGAAATTGTGAACACCATCAATACATGAGATATTCATGATCACTGTAATATTGGGAAATCCCAGACAAAAGAAAAATTTTGCGGAACAATTATAAGAAGAACAAGAAGGAGAAGAAGAAAGAAGATGAGGACAAGAGGAGATATGTGGGCTCAAATGGGTTCATCCGTTGCAAGCTTCATGTTTATCTGGGCAATGTACTTCCCTCACTTCCTTCAGAACTACATTCAAATCTACTGCCATAAACTGCCGAACTTCTTCCACCCTTACGTCCAAATCACATTCCACGAGTTCTCCGCCGATTACCTCAAGCGCAACCAAGCATATACTGCCAATTGAAAACTACCTCAGTTGCTGATCAACCAATCAAGCAAAGAGGCTCAAAGCCGATGTTGCCAAAGACAGCCAGTCTTTGGTCCTCAGCATGGATGATCACGAGGAGGTGATCAAACAGTTTGATGGTGCTAAGCTCGCGTGGGCTTCCATAAAAACTACTGTCCCCAAAACACCGCCACTTCCTTACCTCCATGCCACCGGTTCCGATGAGAAAAGGTGTTACAGGCTGACTTTTCATAACCGGTATCGTGGAATGGTCACTGACAGGTACCTCGATCAGGTCATGGAAGAGGAAAAGGTTATTGTGCTTAGAAAGGGACGGAGGAAGCTTTACACGAATAATTCGAGTGATGGCTGGTATGGTTCCAAAAGAGAAATGTTGAGCCATGTTGTTTTCGAGCACCCTGCTTCATTTCAGACATGAGCTATGGATCCGAAGAAGAAGAAGGAGATTATGGACGATCTCCTTACGTTCAGCAAGGCGAAAGAGTACTATGCAAGGATCGGAAAGGCTTGGAAGCACAGGTACCTCTTCTATGGACCTCCTGGTACTAGTAAATTGACAATGATCGCTGCCATTGCTAATTTTCTGAACTATGATGTTTATGATCTTGAACTAACTGCAGTGAAGAATAACACTGACCTGAGGAAATTACTGATTGAAACACCAAGCATGTTGATAATAGTGATAACATAGATAGCTCGCTCGACCCTACAGGTCAAAGGAAGAAGGATAAGAAGAAAGAAGACAAAGATGAGAAAGATCAAATTGAAAGTGAGAAAAAACATGAGGGAGAACACTAAGGTAATGTTTTCCGGGCTGCTGAACTTTATCGATGGTATATGGTACGCTAGCGGGGGAGAGAGACTCATCACATTTACTACTAATCATGAACTTTATCGATGGTATATGGTACGCTAGCGGGGGAGAGAGACTCATCACATTTACTACTAATCATGTGGACAAGCTCGATCCAGCTCTCATTCGTAGAGGAAGAATGGATAGGCACATTGAGATGTTGTATTGCGACTTTGAATCGTTCAAAGTGCTGGCAAAGAATTATCTTAATCTTGAATCACACCCTCTGTTTGGTGCAATTGAAAGTCTGCTAGAAGAAATCAACATGACTCCAGCTGATGTTGCAGAAAATTTGATGCCAAAGACTGTCACAGAAGATGCTAGTACTTGCTTGGGCTGCTTGATTGAAGCCCTCGAGATTGCGAAGGAAGAAGCCCGAGGAGGAAGTCGAGCTGAAAGCTGAAAAGGACAGAGAAGAAGAACAAGAACAAGAAGAGAAAGCAAAGTAAACAGGAAACATATGATTATGCTTCGAGATTTCTGCACTTCGAAATTTTCGAGACATCCTAACAGTTATGAGTGTCTTGGACAGGGATACATCGTTAGCACTTCAGTTTATTTTGTAATTATCTCATATTGTTGTTTTAGCTTTATATGTACAACTTAAATATTAGGGGAATTATGTCTAGATCCTAATAAATGAACTTATTATCTAATAGGTCATGTGAAAATTAATGATGTTTTTCAACAAACACTATTAAAAAATGTCACTAATTGTTAATTTTCAGCAATAATTTAAAAAATTTATCACAAAAATGTCACTAGTTATAAGTTTTAACGACAATTTAAAAAAAAAATGTAACAAAAAAAAACACTAATTTTCAACTTTTAGCGACAGTTTAAAAAAATTGTCATAGAAAAACATCACTAATTGTAAGTTTTAACGACAATTTATAAAAATCGTGACAAAAAAAAAATCAATAATTATAAATTTTTAGCGACAAATGTAAGAAATCATCACAAAAAATTATTTTTAGCGGTGATTTTACAAAAATTTTTACTTTCAATAGGATTTGATGGGAATTAAGTTCAACTATTAGCGCCTATTGATAGTTCACCCTAATTATTATTACTTGCTTATGAATTGGTGCTTAATTAAGTGAAATGAATTATGACATGCTTATGCTAATTGTGCCTTCGGACGTAATAAGGTTTTTGGATAAAAAAAATCAACTTAGAAAATAATTCACAAAACAGGGGGATCAGATACATTTTGAAACTATTACTACATCACTATATATATGTGCCTATGCTAATGGCTAGATCTGCTAGAGAAATTAATCTGATAGTTTGAATTGCATGAAAAAGAAAATCATTACATTCATGAATGTATGCATGTACACCATGAAAGACTGCACTGCTACTACATAAACCATTTCTATTCCAATTCATGCTACACTTTATGCAGGAATTTATATGGTCAAAAGATAAAGAAAATAAAGGCGTACTGTTTATATCTGGGTAAATTATCTCCAATTCTTACACTACCTTTTCCCGTAGGATTTTAAAATTTTGGTTAAAAGCCTGAACGGTTGTGGAAGATTTCAATCCTTTTTTTTTTTAATCAAATTATTTAAAAAAATTTCCAGATTATCAAAAAAATCTTTTTTGTTCATTTTTATAAAAGAAGAGCATCTCCAATCCTTGCTTTAAAAAAAAATAAAAATAAATAATCAATCTAAAAAAAAAAATATGACAAATGAAATTTGTTGAAGGATTCGATTGAACCGAAAGACTTGGGTTTTTGTTTTCTTTGTTTTTATTAATATAAGTTTGATGACAGAATTAGAATTTTTTTTTTATATATATTTAAAAAAGCCACTCTTTTTTGCATCAATTCAAGTTTGATGAAGGATTGGAGATGTTTAATGAAAGATTGGAGATGCTCTATATGAAAACAGCCAAATAAAGTGGAAGAATGTCTTGCTTAGGGGCTTCTATTAGCACACCACCATTTAATTATTTTTTATTTTTTATTTTATTTATTTATCATTGTGTCCTTCAAACAAATTGGCATTAAGGACAAAAACCACACACCCTCCCTGCCAACCCTACCACGTCTAGTAGTCTCTACTCACCACACCACTACCACCAGTCCACCACCATGAAACCCCCATATCTAAGAAAAAGAAGAAGAACAAAAAGGAGGCTAGGTGTTCAATTTTAAGAAAGAGAGGAGATGTGACAGAGAGGGGCAAGGAAGAGGCTACGGAGGGGAGGTGAAGGAGATGGGAGGAGAGGGGGCTGGGGAGGAGGCAATGGCAAGGGTAGGGGGGTGGTGGACAAGAGGGGTCTGTGGAGTGAAGGCGGCTAGGAAAGGGAAGTGTCAGCGGCGGAAGGGGCAGCAGTGAGTAGTGGCTGATGGGTTAGGATTAAGGTTTGAAGGTTGATGGTGAGGGTATTATGGTAATTAAATGGTGTGAACTGAACCAAAATTAAAAATTAAAATTGCGAGCATCAAAACTGGATAATGGTGTGAACGGTGTTGCTAGTTTTCAAATTTGACAACATACAAATACAACTTTAGCCAATGTACAGTCTACTAGTTAGGAATTTTCTCTTGCAATTTACTTGCTTTACAAGCACCAAAAGAAAAAAGAACCAAATTTGGAATTGATTACTCCTTCCTTAGTTCCTAAAGCCAAAATTAAGTAGAAAGTGAACCGTCCAAAATACAAAGAAAGCATATAGTAAACAAAAGCAAGGAGAGACTTCATCGACCTATGAGATCAGCAAAAGGCCCCTTTATTCTCTCATGATTACGTAATTTTGATCTAAGCTACTACTCCCACTAAACACACGATATTTCGCGGAAAAATGTAAAATAATCCCCAATAAAGAAAAAAATTTGTTTGTTAGTGTTTTCTTTATTGAACCGTGTAGGACCATGCAATTCACTTCTCTCTCTCTCTCTCTAAATATATATATATATATATATATGTGGCACTAGGGCACACATGAAGTAGTGCCTAAGTGAACAGAGAAACACATTTCTCATTTCAAGAATTTCAGAAGAATAAGGATATGAATATGACGATGATGGGAGGGTCCTGGGCAGAACTAGGATCAAGAATTGCTGGCTTAGTGTTTGTTTGGGCCACAATTCAACAGTTCTTCCCAAACCAGCTTCGAATCTATTTTGAAAAATTAATTGATAGATTTTTAGCCACTTTCTATCCATACATCCAAATCACAATCCATGAGTACTCTGATGGCAGGCGCAACGAAGTCTACACCGCCATCAAAACTTATCTCGGTGCCAAGTCCACCGTGCAAGCAAGGAGTCTCAAAGCCGATAAGGTCAAAAACAGCAAATCGATTGTCATCAGCTTGGACAATAGTGAGGAGGTCACTGATGAGTTCAATGGTGTCAAGCTTTGGTGGGCTTTAAAGCAGACTGTCCGCAACACAACGATGTTTACTTTATATCAGTCTGATTCAGAGGAGGAGAGGAAGTATTACAAGCTCACCTTCCATAGAAGATACAGAGACATTGTCACCGGGGCTTACTTGAGTCACGTGATGGAAGAAGGTAAGGCAATCCAGCTCAAAAACCGACAGCGAAAGCTCTACACAAACAATCCCAGTGATAAGTGGAGTTGGAGTGGCAAAAACTTATGGAGTCACATAGTTTTTGAGCACCCTGCAACATTTCAGACGCTGGCAATGGATCCTAAGAAGAAAGAGGAGATTATTAATGACCTCATTGGATTCAACAAAGGAAAAGACTATTATGCCAAGGTTGGGAAGGCTTGGAAGCGTGGCTATCTCCTTTATGGTCCGCCAGGAACGGGCAAGTCGACCATGATCGCTGCCATGGCTAATTTCATGAATTATGATGTTTATGACCTCGAATTGACATCGGTCAACAACAACACGAACCTGAGAAAGCTATTGATAGACACAACGAGTAAATCTATCATTGTGATCGAGGACATCGATTGCTCGCTTGATCTCACAGGTAAACGGAAGAAGAAAAATGAGAAAAGTGAGGACGAAGAACATAACGATCTGATTCATATAAAAGAAAAAGAGAAAGAGAAAGATGATGGCAACAAAGTTACTCTTTCTGGGCTTTTGAACTTTATTGATGGAATTTGGTCAGCTTGTGGTCCAGAAAGGATCATCATATTCACTACTAATCATGTGGACAAACTTGATGCGGCCCTCATTCGGAGAGGACGAATGGATATGCACATTGAAATGTCATATTGCAAATTTGAAGCATTCAAGGTGTTGGCTAAGAACTACCTCGATATCGATTCTCACCCTTTGTTCGGAACCATAGACAGTTTATTGCAGGAAACCGATATGAGTCCTTGTGATGTTGCAGAGAACTTGATACCAAAGACTGCTTCAAAAGAGACTTGCTTAAATGACCTGATTGAAGCTCTCAACAAAGCCAAGGAAAGCGCAAAGTTGAAGACTGAGAAAGAAGCAAAAAACAAAAAGTTATCATCAAAAGCAGCTAAAAAATACAGTCATATATGGATGCAGATGATTGGAAAGCTAAGGAAGGAAAAATAAAAGAAACAATGATGGTAGATGGTACGATTGTATGTTTTTCTTGTTTCTTACCTCTGAAAATAATAAAGTATAAATGTTGTTTAATGTAATGATGTAGCTCATAAGCTAACACGTTTATTAGGATGCATGATATCTACATGAGGGTTTTGAATAACTTTGAAAAATACAGGTAATGTCACCTAGTGACAGCTACTGCTACATAATGAACTTAATTTAAGGAAAGATCATTCACAATGGATTTGGATAAAACTTTGGAAAGAGAAAAAGAAAAGGAAAGGACAATGTGAATTAAATATGACCTCTCTTTTTTTCTTTTCTTTTTTCTATTTCCCTTTCTTTTTGCAAATCCTATCCAAATCCATGATTCAAAAACAACTCAAGGTTTTTCCCTCTTTCCTCCTACCCCATTCACTGGGTTATAGGTATTTTGACCAAAATATTTGTATCTTTTTATGAAATAATAGATTCAGACAAGCCTTCCAACAATAAAGCTCATGAGACCTTGCTGACTTCTAAAATGACACAAGCAGAGGATTCTTGGTCCACCAAGGCAATTGAAGACACTGAGTACTAGAATTTGAGATCCATGATATATTATTTCCAAAACACTAAACACAATTTAAAAAAAATTAAAATTAAAAAGAAAAGGTGCACAACATCAAATGTTACGACAACATGGTACTGCAATTCGAAGTATTTCTGTCATAAATCTAAATTCTATGCAATTCGAAGAATTTGACAAATGTTATGACAACATGGTAGGATTGCATGTTTTTCTTTTTTGATAAAAGGATTGCATGTTTTTCTTGTTCCTTTCCTCTGAAAATAATAAAGTATAAATGTTGTTTAATGTAATGATGTAGCTCATAAGCTAACACGTTTATTAGGATGCATAATATCTACATGAGGGTTTTGAATAACTTTGAAAAATACAGGTAATTGCACCTAGTGACAGCTACTGCCACATAATGAACTTAATTTAAGGAAAGACCATCCACAATGGATTTGGGTAAAACTTTGGAAAGGAAAAAAAGAAAAGGAAAGGACAATGTGATTTAAATATAACGTCTCTTTTTTTCTTTTTCTTTTTTTCTATTTCCCTTTCTTTTTGCAAATTTTTGCAAATCCTATCCAAATCCATGATCCAAAAACAACACAAGGTTTTTCCCTCTTTCCTCCTACCCCATTCATTGGGTTATAGGTATTTTGACCAAAATATTTGTATCCTTTTATGAAATAATAGATTCAAACAAGCCTTCCAACAATAAAGCTCATGAGATCTTGCTGACATCTAAAATGACACAAGCAGAGGATTCTTGGTCCACCAAGGCAATTGAAGACACTGAGTACTAGAATTTGACATCCGTGATATATTATTTCCAAAACACTAAACACAATTTTAAAAAAATTAAAATTAAAATGAAAAGGTGCACAACATCAAATGTTATGACAACATGGTACTGCAATTCGAAATATTTCTGTCATAAATCTAAATTCTATGCTACTACAGCTGTAATATTTGTCTACGTAGCCTAGCAAATTAAGAAGGCAAACTCATACAGCATATTTTCACCTACTTTGGGGCTACCAAAGACATTAGATAAGTACTGAGACCGAAAGAGCTTCATCAACCAAGATTACAAGATTCAGGATGAACAACAATGGTTCAGCTTTGATCTCTTCATACCAATAATAATTGCAGCAGTCAAATCTTTGAGCAAATTAATACTATATCATAGAGTGCCTAAATCTTCTTTTTTTTTTATCTCCACAAAAAAAAAAAAAAAAAAAAAAAAAAATTAGCAACCTATATTAAAAAAAAAAAAAAGAAGAAAAAAGAAAAGGGTCTAAAATTTACATTTGCAGCTCTTACCAAACTTTCTAACATGGTCTCTTATATCTATTTGCCTTCTCACCTAGTGCATGAGGCTCCAACTGGAGAGGCCAAGATGTAAGTAGTGCCTTACCGATCCCCCCCCCCCCAATTTATGGAGAGGCTGTTGGGCCAAACCGCCCTTCAACATTACAGCATTGTTTTCCTCTACGAGGATAACTGATTCCCTTATTCTCTCCAAAGGCATCTTTACACAAACCCAATCTGAATTTTCCGAACATTGCCTCCAAACTTCCTGAATTTCAAAAAACCGCCAAGTTTTATGTCAAAAACCTATACAAACACTCAGATATATAAAAGAACCAATGTTTCGAAAAACATCAGTAATTTAAGGGAGTGCTATCAATTCATGTAAGCAGCCCCAACTCTGAACAAGAAAGGCAGCTTTATAACTCCTCTCCACATCCACAAAATCATTGCTAAAATCATCCACTGATACTTTTGAAATTAAGTCATTGAATTTTACATGTTTGTTGAAATGCTTCAAAGAATGCACCAAATTATAGACTCCACAACCTTGACAAATCAGCGAAAACAATATGTTCACAATCAACTCGTTCTGTGATTTGGGTAATCCATACATAGATTAAAAAGCACAATGCTAAGTTTCAAGCAAAATTACAAATTACATAGAGACCCACAAAGCAAAAGGCAAATTATAACAACAAAATTACAAACACAAACAAAGATTTATGAATTCGAACAAAGGGCACAAACCTTAATGCCAATTGCATGGCTCAATGGTGTTATAAAAAGCCATCCATCATGTTTAGAGGGACTCCCGCTGAGAAAATAACTAGAAATTGTCCGAGGAGGCCGAGAAAATCTACAAGATATGGGAAAAGTAAAAGCAAACCTCAATTCGCAGCACGTGTGAATAAGAGAGAGCAGCAGAGACTACGAAGTACAAACGTGTGGGAGAAGAAAGATGAACCAATATCAATCAGAACCGTTCGTTTATTTATCATTACGTATTTGGGCTATTGGGCGTGAGTGGGCTGGAACTTTTGGACGTAGCTCAAATTGTTCAAATTTTCAGCCCAAGTAGTATAGCCGGCCCTAAATTAGTAACCCTAGTCCCATCTTTGTGGGCCTTTTTTGGGCCACTTCCATGTATTACCAGATTATTTTTATTGAATTTTTTATGTAAAAATTATCATATTCAAGAAGTAGTAATGGATCTAATTATTTTCTAAAGGTGAACTTGATAAGCCTCATATACAAAATTTAAAATTAATCTAATTTCAAAACAAAATAATTGCACCAATTAGTCTTACATAATTTTAATTGTTATTAAAAATTCCTATATATATATATATATATTAATTTAAAGACGTTGTAACATCCCACCACCATCCGACTTCTGTCAAACGGTCATCGAAGACTTCCTAAAATGTTCAACATTGATGGAAAGTCATCGGAGTATCACTGAAATTCGTTGGAGTATTGCCGGAATGTCCAGAATATTGCCAAAAAAAATAATAAATTGATAAAGTAGAGCGAAAAAACATAACAAAATGTGTTATATATTGATAAACTGAAATAAGAAAAAAAACGTAACAATGACAAACAATAACAATGCGAAAAACATATGTTGTTTTCAATTTTTATAGGATTTAGGCAAATAATTTTCAATATTGATCAAACTGAAAAATAAGTTTTGAAACTGTAAAATGTTACAGTTTTAAAGCATAGTTATATTAAGTATTTATCCTTATTAATCAAATCGAAAAAACATATTATGAAACTATAAAATTTTACAGTTCTAACGAAAGTTATGAAACTGAAAAATTTTAATAATGATTCATTTCAGTGTCAAAAAAAATAAAACTGTAAAATTTTACAATTTTCACAGCTTGTAACTAAAACTTAAAAACAACTTATTCAGAGTTAGAAAATTTTCTCTATTAAAATAGGAAAATAGAAGTGTATAGTATAGAAAAAGTAAAAATTGACGGATCAAAGGAAAGAGACAAATATAGAAAAAAAAAGTTTATACTCAAGTAACTATTTTTGGTTTGATCTAGCCGTATCTGACATAAATCTAGTCAGGATTGAGTAGATTTACTCATCTTCTTCGTTGAAAACTCATCTCTTTCGTTGTTGATGACTATGAAGTAAGGAGTCGATACTTTGTGGTCGCTGATGAATGCTGATCAATGGTGGTCATTGGTCGCTGGTGAACTATAAATTAAAAAGAGAAAGAAAAGAAGGAAGGCATGGTTGTGGTCGTTGCCAGATATCAGAGAAAGAGAGAGAGATAAAAAGAAGAAACAAGGTGCAGAGAAAAATAAGAAAATAAATGGTCGCAAAACTTTTGAATTTATCTAAAAAAATTTATAATTAAATAAAAAACACACTTTTCAAAAAGAATTTATGAGTAATTTGTCATTTTCTAAATAAGGCGAACTCTACATGTATATAATGTTTGTCATTTAAATTCATGTCAGTGAAAATAAAGGGTAAAAACCATTTAGAGACAAAATAAAGTATAAAGATATTTTGTCTCTAGATGGTTTTCTGAATAAATAAATAAATAAATAAAAAACCATCCAGAGACAAAATATCGTTATACTTTTTTAAATTTTACTTATTTTGTCAATTTAATTTTATTAATTTTAATTAATTTAATTTTGACGTTAAATTTTTATTTTGTTTTATACCGACATGTAGAGAGATAGATTTTTTTGAGAGAAAATAGTTGTGTTTTTGTTTGGGATGTGGGTTAATTTTTTGTCTTTTTAATTTTTTGACTATTTTAATCTGGGACTAACATAATAATTATGGTATGAAAAAATATAACTTTTAACTTAGGATTAAAAAAACCTATTTTATCATTGTTTACCTAAAATAATCCCAACCTTTGTTAAATGGGAAAATTAGTCTAGGTTCCCTCTCCCACTTTTCGTAATAAAAGAGATCCACAAAATTATTTTTTGATGTCTAAGGTCCCTAAACATATATCAAAGAAATTTGACTCTTTGTCTCTCCCCTCTCCCTCTCTTCTCCTCTCACCCACTAGTCTTCGAGATCTAAGGCATTCAAATCAGTTACTTGATGTTATGGAAACAGCAGATGATAAATAGATATACATAAAGAGAGAAAATAAATTTGATGGTGAGAGAGAGAGAGAGAGAGAGATGATGTGGAGATAGTCGTGTATTTTCCTAAAACAGAGTCTGTCGTCGATGGTTGGGTACAAACCGAAGGCGAAGGCGGCGTTAGGGCTGAAGGCGGTGTGTGCATCGTTTTCAACAGAGTCGGGCAGCGGCGGAAGTAGTGGTGATGTGGTCGGAGGAGGAGAAATTTGATATCCCTCACCCTTCAA